ACCGGGTAACTGAACCAGACTGTGCAGTGCACAAGAAAGCACTTAAATGCCAGATTTGTATTATATGACTAACAATTCACTTTAGTATTAAGTGTAATACGGGCAATCCAACGCAAACTAAAGGCAGGATACTTGTTGCAGAAGATACAATTTATTTACAGGCCTACAATATATTTTCTTTTACAGCACCGAGAGTAGTTTTATTATAGAACATATTTCAGCAAACATGAATGACATAACAAGCATTATAAATTTAAACCAAATCTTTTTCAATTTTACTTTGATTATCGAACCTTGAAAACAATAACACTCGTAACGTTACACATTTTAAGCTAAATCCATAAATTTTAAAATAACTTTCTAAGATTTTTGTGATACTACTAAGAATATGACAATCGTTTAAAATGCGGTTGTAAACTAAAATAATTTTCATAGAACAAACAGAATATTACACTGAAAGAAATTCGTAAAGAATTTGTAACAGACTTTTCCATTACGTAACTTTTTACACCGTTTAGATATCACATTAAGAGTACCAAGCAGGTGAAGATTCTGCTTTTCTACTCCTTTTACATTTTAACTAAAGACACAAATTTGTCCTTGGCTATAACGACCCCTTTTATTCTATTTTTATGTAGCAATTTAACATTTTTGGTTCATAATAGCGCAGTTACTTTTCTCTTAGGTATTGATCCTGTTTTAATTTCTAAGAAGTTGCCTGTATTTAATATTTAACTTATATGAAAGAAAAGTACACTTTACAGTAATTTTAGCAATGCCGACGCTAACATCACTAATATCCAACACACGTATTCACTCGCTTGAAGCTATGTAATGTCACAGTAAGATAGTTTATTTAATCATTTTGTGTGCACTTATTTCCTTTCGTGTTATATGCTTAATTTTATGGACACGAATGTACGAAAACAATATACTTCATTTCGTATACTGTTTGTAGTTTTGTTAAAAATATAGTAAAATTATTAATACTTCACATGAAAATCATTCAATCTTTAAAAATGTCAGTTTCGTTACTCATACAGAAAAGTGCTGTTTACTGAAACACATTCATTATTGTTTACTCAGATCTCAAATTCAAATAAATGTTGTGTTTGTAGTTTTAGAATTCTGTCAGCTTAGAATATAAGCAGTTAATTCGGCAACTCTTCAATCAGCTCTTTTTTTTTTTTTTTTTTTTCGGGGATGGGAGTTTTAAGATTGTGAATTAATTTTCTTCTTTGATATCTTGCATACTACAGCAGAAGTTAGCTTTTATTTGTTTATGTTTTCTGCGATTTAAAAATGGCACAGTGTACGTCAAATCCGTAAATGTTAGACATAAAAAGCTTATGAAAGGGCCTCGGTTCAGATTAAAAGATAATGTGGATAATACAATACATAAAAGTTTGTAAAGACTTTATTTTATTCTAACCAATTAGTTTTAGTTTTAGAACCTTTCCTTTCCCTTCTGATTTCATTTTCCGGAGAATGTAAATTTCAATGACGTAGTATGCAAATCTAAGTGAGTTCGTAGTCGGTATTTAGGCAACGCTTTTAAGAGTTCGAGTAGGAGAGTTAGTTCCGAATTTATGCCGCGGGTTTGAAGTAGCTTTTGTACGCGAATAGTTGGTGCTTAGCCACTCTCTTTAGATTATATTGATATTCTAGTTTCGGCTTTGCTGTGTGCAGCCGATTAAGCGGTTTACATAAATAAGAAACCAATCGTGTAGCCAAGCTTACTTTATTGTGATTTTACTTCTTATTTTTCTGTTAAGTTACTTAGCCACAAGCGGTGGTAGATTGTGAGCACCGAGGGAGTGCATTTTTTTCTTAAGTTCAAATAAAAAGGTTATTTAAACCTTCTTCTGCAGTCATCTGTTCTTCCAAGACCTATCGAGAATTCGTTACTTAGTCTTTTCAGCTAGGGTCTACAATGTATCATTCCAAAACATACTAGAATAGAAGTTAATGCAACATCTCTTGCATACTAAAATTTACTTCTTAAAGCTTGAAATACAACTTTTTTCTCTTTGCTTCACAAAATTTTGAATTGTCCTTTCCCCCCCAAAAAATAAATAATAATAATAATAATAATAATAATAATAATAATAATATAATAATAATAATAATAAAAGATTTAGAAGTATAATGTCCTCTAACGACGTCGCTGATGAATGGAAATGCAAAATGTTACTCTCAAGATGTTGATTCCGCTGCTGAAACTTTTTTATGAATTGACAAACGTAAGAAACAAATGAAAAAAAAAAAAAAGTGACAAGTAATAGGTAACGAATCATTTTTTAATCCAAGATAATCATTGTTATTTAAGTTAGCAAAACAATTTACAGATTTTCTACCGCGTTATGAAATTATGAATCACAACTGGGTGGTATGAACAATACCTGAAAAATTTAAAGGGTACATATAAAACAAAAGTTCCAATATTTAAAACGCTTCTAGCGGTAAGATTTTAATTAAACTGATAAAAAACAAAATGGACAAAAAAAACGTAAAATTTAGATTAATTAACCTCAGTGCTTTTTAAAGTACATCGTAAAAAAGTAAGCAACAAGAAAACGATTTGTTGAAACTCGGAATAAATAATAGATAGCATAATGTACACATCAATATCCAAATTGTTCTCTTTATTATAGTTTCAAAAATACTTTAAGAAGTAGCACTTATCCTAACAACTTAAGAGTTTTACTAGGACCAGAAAAAAAATTCTTTTCAAAAGAGACAAAATACTGAATTGAAAAAGAGATGAAATATAAGCCCTCTTAAAAAAAGTCCTTTCTTTGCAATTGAAAATTTTAACAATGCACTTTTTTAAATTTTAATATGGAAGAAGAATAAAAAAAATGTGGTAGAAGTAATAAAAAATTACGATTCTTCAAAAATTTTTGCACTACTTATATCATACTTCTGCGAAAATTAAAAGTAATCATTTTTAAAAACGTTTTCTTCCAAAGCTTACAAAACTCTGCAGGTAATAGAAATAATGGTTTCAACACAATTTCTTTGTATTAAATTCCCCCCCCCCTTTAAACATTTAGAATTTGTTGGACTTATTGAGAAACAATTTCTTTTACTCTCACTTCTACAAAGACAGAAGTATTTTGTGGAATACAGTAGCTAGAATTGAAATAAAAACTTGAAAAGAAAAACAAATAAAGCATCAGACATCATCGCAGGATAAGTAATAAAAATGAAGTCCTGATTTAAGGCAGAGTTATTAAATTACAGACCCAAATTCACATCACAGATAGTTCGAAAAGTTTTAATGCAGCGTACAGTTTATAATTCGAGAACAGACTATGAATCATGTTTTACAGAATGGAGTGAATGCACACAAGCTAAAACGAAGCGAATAAATTCCTAGCCAATGAGTAGAGTAACTTAAAAATCGACGATTTCTTATGAAATTTGAGTAACAATTACCAGTGAATTGGATGAATAAATATGATCTATAAGAGATAGAAGGTATACAAAAGTGAAGATAATGAAAGAAATAAAACAAGAAATATCAAGTTCTAAACAATGGAGGAGAAAGCATAAATCATAAGCTATCCAAATATTCCTTTACTTCCCATGGTTCCCAATAGATGGCGCTATGTGAGAAAAATGGGCCGTAAACTTGCGCCCGCTGTTGTTAGCGTTAACTTTTTTTTAAATGTTCTTTTTTTTTTTCCCCCCCAATTGGCTTCTTTCTTTTCACGCTCCAGTGATATTGATCGCAAGAGAAAAATCGTGCGCACTGCTATACAGACCCATTTTCACATAGCGTCAGCTATAATACTGATCTGCCATGCATATCAAACATAATATGCAGGCCTGAAGGAATGAAAGAAAATACGAAGCATATTTTTTTCAGAACAAAATTTAAAGGAATAATAAAATAAATAAATAGTAAAAAAAAGGACAAGTTTTTTAGCGTGAAAAAAGGAATTTTGAGTGAATGTGCAGGGAATTTTTAGTGAATATGGAAATCAAAGAATACACAACATGAAATTTACATATTTCATGAATGTGCACCATTTATTGAAATACTTTGAAGATTCTTCTGCTTTTGATGTTACAAATATTCTTTTGGGGAAATACCTGAGGAAAAGCTGTCTTTTGAGTTGACCACAAATCACAACACAGATAATTTTTTGTGAAAGCATAAAATCAACAAATTAAACAAACTAAAACTCATCAAACACTTTGCCCTGAAAACAAAAACATTTAGAATTTTCATATACATTATATGATATAAAGAAACATATAATATAACCTTATTAATATAGCATTTTTTATTGATACAAACTTTTGTAAGTCCACATGGAAAAATCGTAAGAAAAAGGAAATAAACATGAGATGTGCTTACCTGCACAATATTCATTTGACTGATATACAAACCGAAGTCTACACAAATGACTGGTACTGTTTAAGCCCATGTAATCAAAAATAGTTCTTACCTCTAAATTCAGGAGTTAATACTATGGAGTTTCCTTCTTAGCAGTCATACTTACTCTAATCCAACACTCATTTCAAGTAAATGCATTTAATATTCAGAACATTCAATAAAACTTTATTAGGAATAAGCTGTATAAAGACCCATAGAGACACAAAAGTTAACTGTCAACATGTAATAAATCACTTGCTCAAGATAAAACACAAATTAAAAGATAAGCATAGCATTATATTATGTGAAAAATTCTACAAGTCAACTCTGCTTTGGTCGTCAGCAAATCACATTCTCATTTCTGGAAACAGAGTAAATTTGAGAAAAATCTGCTCTGTTATCTTGGCTGCAATGGAGATGCACCACTTTTTAAAATATTTAAAAGAAATTTATAATAGAAACAGAAGCATCATCACAGAGAAACCGTTAAGAGTTTTAATGAAGGAAAAAGCAGATTAAACACACATTTGTGTATAATAAATTTATCAAAAGAAGGGGAAAAAGGTATTAATAAGAATAGCAGAAAGACATGCACAGTATTATAATGTTATACCTCGTGCAAGGTTAGAGGTTTCTCTGCTTTCCTCTTGCAGTCAAACCTCCCATAAATTGCTGCATACTTTCGAATTTCATCCATGCGCCTAGGATCATCTTCTGGCATATTCATGACATACTGAAACAAAAAATAAAAATCATGGTTGTAGATGCAGTGACTCAAAATGCAACAAAGCCTTAACGTAAATAAATAAAATTGATTTTAGGTAAGTTTTAAGATATATTAAGTGATTAAATAAATTGAAAGTGAATGATTTTTCTTAAAGCGACAGTTTGAAATTTTTGGTAGAGAAAATCATACGAAGCTAACATAAAAAATTATAATGCAGCAAAATTTAGGACACAGCATACAGAATGGAAAAGGACAAATCATGCAGACAGATGCAATAACTCGCAAGCACTGTAAAAATTTGCAGGAACAATCTGATTCAGCAAACATCTGTTAAGTAATCAAGAAAAACTACTGCAGTCCTTTAGAGTATATGAAATCATGAACATAAATTATTATTTCTAAGTTATGGAATACAAGCGAAGAAGCTAGGATACGGTGTATCAAAATTCACCTTATCTTCTTCGCCCAAATTTATGTAATCTAAGTCTTATTAACCCTAGAATGCATACAGGAGTTGCACACAGCCCCACAGCCTTTTAAAGTTGGCCTGTCTGTCAAAGTTTGGTCAGATCAATATTTTAATACTATTTGAATTTTTTTATATTTGAATTATAATAAGACTACTTTTATAACGGGATATCTGATCGCTCCACGTATCCAATCTTGAATGAAAAAATTCTGTATCCACTCGATTAACTGCTACATCGCTCTGTACGATAAGATTTTAAGATGCAATAGAAGCATTTTGAACCGTCATTATTTGTACTATATTATAAAAATAGTTTATCTTGACATTACAAATTAAACAGGAGGAACAGCATTAAGAAATCTGCATCCGTAAAGGAATTTAATTTCATACAATATACGTATAATAGTACTGTATAATATAGATATAATATTCTGTATAAACTATATATTCTCATAGTTAAGAATATATTCTCATAGTTAGTATATAGTTCTCATAGTATATATTCTCATAGTTAGTATATAGTTAGTATGTAACTATATATTCTCATAGTTAGTATATAGTAGTTAAGAATTGCTTACGAAGTGGAATAGAAGGTTGCCAGATAGTAAATGCATTTCTAAATACAAACGTCTGATACATAACGAAATTTACGATGTTAATTGTTTATGATGTTAGTTTCCTATTAGTTGTAAAAAGGGGCATACTAACAAAATACGCAAGAACTCATACAATGGCAAACTTAAAACTGTATTTTAATATCGCGTGACATTCCGAATACAGAATTACTTGTAATACTATGCTTAAATAGCCACATGGGTCTTCACATAACAGACCGCTTCATTATTTTAACACGGAAGTAATAAACCCCTAAGAAGCCATAAATCACAAAGTGGAAACGGATATAGAGTTCAACATTTAATTTATATCGTACACTATACTATAAATCGTAGCAAACAAATTTTGCATAAAGTAGTGAATAATAGTATTAAATACAAATTACAAAAGCTTTCCACTTCTTAGAATTAAACTTATGCACTTTTTTTTAAATACTTTGCCTCTATTTTCTATTTTTTGGTCAGAATTAATTAAAAAAATTTCCCACTTGTTCTCTGAGAAGCAATTTCGACAGAAGTTTTGCCTATTCAATCCTAATTTAAAACGCAAAGTGAAAACAAATATGGAATTTCATAATACTTTTGTTTTATAATTTCTTCTTCATTTACAATAATACACTTGAATTCATAAAGTAATAAGAAAGCCACATATCTATAAGTTCAGTTGCACAACTTTTCCAAAAATCTGAGGTCAAATGCCACTGATTATGGCGGAGCATGTTATAAACTTTTCAATAATTTACAACAATAACGATCTCTTGTAAACAGAAGAGAATAGTAGAAACGACTCCCTCTGCCCTCCATCGAAAAGAACAAAAATGGAAAATTCTCAAGCTGCAAAACAATTTGTATTACTGCCAAACAATTCGAGGAATTGAATACTAAGGTGAAACAATAGGATGCAAAAGCAATACCCAATAATGGACTTGGCAATATTTGGCTGAAACAACGGGAAATTTTTATCCTGCGGATTTGAGTGAAAAAAATTATAAGGGTGTTTTGATTTTAAAAAAATAAATAAAAACATTTTGCCGCAGAGTGTTAGAGTTAATTAAATTTCACCTATTATACAGCTTTTTTTTAGCTTTGCAATAATAAAAAAACGTATGAGTAATTTGAAAAAGCATAAAAAGTTAGGAAGAATTATATGTTTATTTGAAGCTCCCCCTTAAAAAAAAAAAAATGCATTGTTTTTGAACTCTTATCAAAAACTTTCCAAGCGTAATTTATGAAAAGCCTAACAAGTAAAGCACGACGTTTTAAGTCGCACGCATTTCACATAGATCACAAACAAATGGTTACGAGATGACATGGCAAATGATCTGATACAATAAAAACAGATTAAAATAGTTCAAAAACTTGTAATATGCACTAATGAACATCTTTCTTCACAACTTTCATTCGTGACAAGCAAATGTTAGGGATAACATGAAGTTAAACGGAGCTTCCAAAGAATACTTTTTTTACCAAACCAAATTTCAACAATTAATATGATAAAATGTTTTATGCACCCAAACAAATACAAGCAATTAGTATAATAAAATAGTTTATGTACCCAAATAAATACAAGCAATTGGTATAATAAAATATTTTATCTACCCAAATAAACACCAACAATTATCATGACTAATTTAGACCCAAAAAATATATTTATATTAGAGCTCTCATGTTCAGTCTTAATAGTTTAACCGGTTTACTCTCTGACATATCAACAACCGCTTCATTGCAGGCATATTGACCAAGGAAAGTAGTTCAGCATGAGACAAATTACAAATTAAAGGAGAAAAATTATAGCTTTATTTAGTTTTTGGAACTCTTTATAAATAACGGTATTAGATTCATCAAACAATGGCATTCTAAATTTCTTCTTGACAAGGAAAGCACAGAACCTTGTAAGAGATAATAATAATTAGCATAGTAAACTACTATCTTAATTTGCGTGCCTGGGTGGTGAAAAGTGAATAACGATAAGAAAAGGGAATGCAAATAACGATGAGCGCATTAAACAGATATGAAGAATTCATTTAAGAGGCTTCAGAATGAGAGCAGTAACAAGAAACGGAAAAAGAGAAATGCAAATGAAGAACTGGTTACCGCCAAAATAAAAGCTAGAAGAGAGAAAAAAAAAAAAAAAAAAAATCACTTAAACTTTGAATTACAAAAGCTAGTGATGAACAATTTTACCTCACAGGTAGTTATAATTGGTTGCGAAGTTAGATTAAACTCAATTTTTTCCCATCTAAATACGGACATGCATAAATCACTGCTATTTTATGCTTACATAATACACTAATATATTCTACGAAGCACAAAATTACTAAAAATTATAATTTAAATTATGAACTTTTTAATAACTGTAACATGAATTGCAATATACGTTTAACCAAAAATTAATATATATATAGCAAAATTAGACGCATCAGAAACTCAAAATAAAATTCTACACTAAATCGGTACTGAATCCCGCTGAAGTTGCAAAATGTTCGGGGTAAGAAGATGCATTATTAAATTTCGCTTAGAAATTATGTAAATTTTATTAAAATAATAATTCATCATAAATAGTGCAAAATCACAAATGTTTTTCATAATGCAAATTTTGTTTTCCAGTATTTATGCGCAAAGGTAATGGCATTAATTATATAAAGAAGGTAATGTATTAAATCTCAATAGATTAACGCCTAAAGCTGAAGCATTCACTGCAATACACCTGAGACATCGATGCAGCTCATACGGCAATTTCAATACTGACAAAGTAATTGCAGTAACTGCTGAAGTAATAAGCAAAAATATTTACCTTTGACACAGAGCTAACTTACAAATCAAGAATTTTCATGACTTTTCAGCGGAATAAAAATATCCGTTTTCGGAGACCACAGTGAAAGAGTTCCTCAAAGTCTGGTTGGAATTTCGAGATTAAGGAAGGGGCGATATTTCTAATTCTATTCGAAGGGCATCAACCTTCCCACAGGTGTGCTATGGAAAGGGGACAAGTGCACACAACCCATACTTCGATTCAACTAAGCAAGAGGGAAGGTCGAGAAAGAAGTTGAACAACCTCAACTCACTCTACTTGCATCTGCTCCAGAAGAAAGAACAACGCCCCTTTCCCTTTCACTTAGATGGGCCCCTCTTGGAAAGGGTTGTTTCTGCTTTCCTGCTATTGCTCGAGGGGATATGAAGATCTCGATACCTGAACTTCTTATGCCCTCAGCAGGTTGAATAAAATACAAGATCAATGAACTAGGACCTACAGATTTTTTTTTTTTTTTTTTTTTTTTAATCCGAGCCTTTAGCGACAAGCGATAACAGAGATATCTAAGATTATTTAAGAAATTAGGTAATCTTCTAATACACTTTTCATGATTCTCAGCAAATTACAAGTTTAAAACAAACTCATATTCTTTTAAAATTTTAAATAAATAAAAAAAAATAAATACTGCAGTTAATGAACTTTGCCCAACACGCATTTTTAAGACGAGTAAGTCACTGAAATCAGCAGATTACAAGTTTAAAACAACTTCATATTCTTTTAAAATTTTAAATAAATGAAATAAATATTGCAGTCAATGACTTTTGCGCGACACGCATTTTTATGAAGAATAAGTCACTGAAATCAGCAGATTATATAGCTTTGAATAACATTACAGTACTTCTTACCAACCGAAATAATATTACTGAAGGCAAATAGCTAGCAAGGGCTCTGTGATAACAAATTATCCACTTAACCTAAAAGGTTTGTTTGGTTTGGTTTGGTTTATTTAATTATGGCAAAGCACACTAGGGTTATCTGCCTAAGGGGAGGGATGCCTTCGTGGAGGACTTTCTAAGGGAAACTGGCTCGCATACACGTTACACATGGGGAAAACCACGAAAACGCCCATGCAGCCAGCCCGGTTCGCGGGATTCGAACCTCGGACCGACCT